CTTTGAACAAGATAGAAATTTAGGAGTAACATGGCCTTACAAACCCAACAGTGAGATCTTAAGAGATCCACAGCCTACGGCTCTTCAATGGGTCACAGGGTCCCCAGGAAAAAAATTGTAAATGTAAAATAATAAAATAAATATTCTTCTGTAGCAATAACAAAGTATAACATAAATTATTCTGTAGCAATTACACAAGAATATTCAGTAATGTCCCTGCCTACAATTAAACACATTCACTTACTGAAAATCGGGGCATCTGCTGTGGCAAATGGGTGCAAGCCTTTGACCACAAACTTAGTCACTGCTCGGTGACGTTCGTCTATCCTGGCCTGAAAGAAGACGCTACCGGTAGACTGCAGCAAGAACTGCCAGCATCTGAGCCAGACTCTGTCTGTTTCTCTCATCATGGTCACCTAAATGCACAGTAATGGCAGGTTTTGTAATAAGGCAGATCGCGCTAACATAATCTGCACTGTTAGTTGATTATTTACCTGCCGCATTAACGGGAGAAGACGTGCAAACGTTACCGCTGCTGCTGGGTTGAGATTCACGAGTCCGGAGCGGAATTAAAAACACGACATTCATTTAAGGTCATCGCGTGTTTTGTGAGCAAATGTTTTTGCATATTCGTAGTGTTTCCTCCCTTAATGAAATATCTACTTTGCAAGTATTGCAAGTTGCCCTGTTGTCATCCGTTCTTGTAAAGTATAACCAAACTTTTGAGCGTTTAAGCCGCTTAGGCGCCGTGTTTCCTGCCAGGTAAATGACGCTCCGCAACGTGGTGACGTCATTCGGGGCGACTGGAATCGATAAGGGAATCGTTTGCAAAAATGGCAAACAATTCCAAGGAATTGAAACAGTGGGAACCGGTTCTCAACATAATCGGTTTTCGATACCCATCCCTAATTATTATACAACAGTATATAATCATCAGGTCAAATAAATGCAACCAGTCTTAGTCTAGTGTGCAGGAAGTCAATCAGCACACTTTTTTTTAAATGAACCTCACAATGCCTAAATTTAACAATTTAAAAACTGACTTTGAGAGTTGTTTTCAGTGTGTTATTTTCTTAATAATTATCTCTATAGTTTTTTGCATGAAGTCTTTGTCATTTTTGTAATTGATTAGAAAGCTGACATACTGAACATTTATATTATAAGAACACTGAACAACAGTTAATTTGGTTAGCTTGTAGCATAAGCATACTGGCATTAAGGTAAATATTTGTGACAATAGAAATTAGTATTTAAGTATATGTTTAAGTGGATCTGTCTACCTCTATTGTCATGCATTATGGTTGCACTGGTTGAGTGCGCAGGATAAGCAATGTGTTACAGACATGTGTCTGACAAGTTTAACAAAGTGGTCGCTCAGCGTGGGTAAGAATCAAAAATGGTGACTGTAGTTATTGACCGTGTTGTGAATATGAGACAGGATATAGCATAACTGACTTCACCAGAGGAGAAGAGTAAGCATCAGTATTGAGGGACTGAAAGTCCACCATACCAGAATGTTATTGCCCACAAAACCAAATCTCTGGAATCAGCTTTGCAACCCTGCAAAGAAAATCTCAGTACGGGTGGCAAGGCACAGCAAGCCAGAGACAAACCAGCAACACAGTGTAGTGTCGATACTGTAGGAAACCATTTGAGAAAAGCTAATTCAAATGCCCAGCATATGATAAGAACAAAGTGTTGCAGAGACAATCATAAAGCATGCCCAGAACACAAAGAAAAGAAACCTGCACTCAAACCTGAATGTGAGAGTGATAGCTATTCTGTGTTACTGAAGCAGTGACAAATAATGTGAATTCAGTCAACACTAAACAAGCAAATAGCACTTTTAGGAGGAATACTCCGAGGCAAGAATGTTGTGAACTTCCAAATAGTCTGTGGTGCTACAGTACTTGTTGCATTATTCCAATTAGCTTGCTCAAACCTGACACAAAGCTTGAATATACCAAAATTGTACTGATAATAATAAAAGGATTTTTAAGAAATCCAAGAAGAAACAAAATATCTCAACTGAAATTTCAGGTGGACAATGAATGGGTTATTTTTCCCAATAATTGGCAAATGACTCTAATGTTGTTAAGCTTTTAAAGGTACACTGCAAAACATTCTGATAAAATAGATAGCATGGTTATACCAGAAAGGCCCACAGATTGACCGTGGTTGATGGGATAAAGAATAGCAAAGTATGCTGATGTGCTTACTGGTGATGGATGTCTTGAGGGAGGCAATAAGAGAAACCTGCAAAGCTGTTGAATGTTCCAATGATGGAGCTGCTGAAGGAGAAACTGTAGGGCGTCCTGTGCAGAGGGATCGCCACTTCAGCTAATGCTGCATAGACTGGATCAGTGGAATAGTTATGGTGAAAAAACAGAACAGCTGATCAAGGGTATGCAGTGGTCCAAGACCCCTAAACAAGGCTTTAAAGTGCAGACGCTTCTCATTACCAACCATTGAAGGATATATTCCAGGCTTCAAGATCTTTACAAAGCTAATGTGTTTACAGTATGTGACGTCAAAAGTGGGTTCTGGCATATCAAGTAAGAGGATGAGTCTAGCTACCTTACACCATTCTCCATGTGGCTGCTACAGATAGCTGAGAATACCAATAGTTATATGTCTGCTCTTGAAATCTTTCAGAGAAAACTGACACAAGCTCTAGATGACTGCTTGGGTTGTACATTATTGCAGCTCAGGTGCTGATCACAAGACAAAGAGAAATGCAAGAGGAAGCTGAATGTGATGATGGTGGAAAACTGAGACTGTGTCTAAACTGATATGGGCAAAAGAACATCAAACTGAATGCAGACAAGTTTAAACTGAGATAAAAGGAGGTTACATATATAGGACACCTCCTGAAGGCAGATGGACTAATATCAGACACTGAAAAAGTGCATGACAGATGCCAAAACCAACAGATGTAGAAGGGGTCCAGAGGCTGCTGGGTATGGCGGATTACCTAACAAAGTTTTGCCCACACCTCTCTGGTCACCATGAGGCACTGAAGCAATTAACACACAGAAACTGTGAGTGGAAATCTTCATCACAGCATGAGGATATCGGTTCAGTTCAATTTTATTTATATAGCACCAAATCACAACAACAGTTACCTCAAGGGGCTTGATATTGTAAAGTAAAGACCCAGTAATGATACAGAGAAAACAGAGAAAACCCCAACAATCACATGACGTCAGAGTCCCCAGCTCTAACTATATCCTTTGTCAAAAATGTAGGTTTTAAGCCTGATCTTAAAAAGCATTCCTCAAACTGACAGAGATGATTGCAAATGCAATTTTCTCCAGTCCTGCCTCAGACACAGGTTTGGGTGGAACACTTCTGCAGGAGGTTGAGCCTATTGTTTCTGCAAGCAGAACACTCAAAGACACGGCGTGACGCCATGTTCAAATGGAAAAAGGATCCTTGGCTGTGGTGTTCAGAATGGAAAAGTTCCACCAGTAAACATACAGCTGCAAAGTTATCGTTTAAAGTGCCTGTAAGTCATTAGAGGCCATAGTGAAAAAGCCACTGAGTGCTCCTAAATAAATTCAGGAAAAACTATGTTATGCACTCAAAACTATGATTTTGATGTGGTGTACGTATCAGGAAATAATGTTACTCGCCAACACTCTAAGCAGAGCATATCTTCCTGAATGTCCACCATTAATATGGTCTCTCATTCAGTACAGGACAGAGGATAATACAGATTCTCATTCAAAGGATACAGCAGGGATGGCTAAAAGATAAAGTAAAAACAGTAAGCTTGATTATATAAGGAGAAAGTTCATTTATCATTTACCGTCCTCACATCTTGGTGTGAAAAGTTGCTAGAGAATGCATCTACTGACATGGCCAGAAGTCTGACCAGATAAAGACATATACAGCCAAGTGTGATATCTTCAGAGTGGTAGGCTTCACACAACCAATAGAAACCCTCCTTCCATGTAAAATGCCAAGCAGTCCATGGACAAAGATGGGATTGGATTTGTTTTCATTTGACAACAGAGACTACTTCATCAGCGTAGTTATTACCAATATTTTGGTAATAAGCAATAGACAGTTAACCAGACACAAAGTCTACTACCGTGATAAAGAAACTGAAAGCTCAGATAATGGATCTCAATGTACATCTCAAGAATTCCAGAGATTCAGCAGACTGTGGGAAAAACGATTGCTCCCATGGAGCAATGATAAGACAGAATCTTCCATAAAGGTAGCCAAGAGACTCTTGTTGCAAGTTGCAGGAGAGGATCCTTATCCTGTACTATTAGATCACTACAATCACACATTATCATAAGGTCTGGAAACCAGTGCAGCTCAGAGACGGCTCAGACTGTTGCTAAAAAACAAACAAAACAAGTCTTCTGCACAGCATAATCTGAAAAACAAACAGCACCAGTGTACCTGGTACAAACGATATGCTAGAAACCAGGTGACTGTGTGAGAGTACAGCCACTGGAACCTCACATACACTTGAGATTAGGTTGGGTACTTAAGTCCATTGACACTAGGTCCTACGAAGTCCAAATGGACTCTGATGGTGTGCTAAGGAGAAATTAGAGACATGATTAAGAGTGGACACAAGGCAAAGTCTATTCAGAAATGTGTCCTTTGTTGCAAACAGTTTTTTAATCCTTAGTGCCTCACTTTCATTCTTTTTTTCTTTTTTCTTTCTCTCCACCAAGGTGAGGAAACTTCCTGATTGGTTAGGGACTTTCTTTGGGGTGCTTGTGGATTTTCTATGGCTGCCTGGACCCAGTCTAGTCCAGCAAGATGCATGTTAGGTTAAATGGTGATTATATTGAAAGTGGTGTGGATATTGTCTCCGCTATAAACCAGTAACCTGCCCAGCATGTTCCCTGCCTCTTGCCTCAGAACAGTAAGCTGCAGCCTCCCCTCATCCCCAAGTTGTATAAGTGACAGTAAAACACAAAAAAAAATGTGTTGTGCTGGCAATAGACACATCAAAAATAAAAATGGCAATAATGTTTAGTTTGTGAACTTTAATGTTAAATTGCATGATTTTTTTTTTTACACACATCAGATACATTGTTAATATTTACATTGACATAACTCAAAATCTCTAAAAACAAATAAAACAAAAACAGGTTAAACTGTTGAACTTTCTTTCATTATTTCAGTCAAAAGAGCTTATAATCATAATATTTATTTGGGTTTTACTATTCCACAAATGTGCAATGAATGTCAAAAAAAATGTGATGTAGGCTTCCTTTACTGTATATGAATATTGTAAATTGTAAAAAAAACAACAAAAACAAATCAAAAACAAAACAAAAACAATAGTAATAAAACAAAATGTTACAGTCTTACAAAACACAAATCAAAAGGTTAAAACAAACATGGCAATCATTGTCAGGACATCAAAAAGGAACAGAGTAAAAATTTATATTTCTTTTATGGATGTAAAGCCCAAATTCTAGCATATTATATAGTATGTAGTAGTACTTATCAATAATAATAATACTAATAATAATCATAATAATAATAAAAAAAAGGAAGGATCTCTTGAAGATTAAATGTGTCACAAAAAGACAAAGATGTGTGTAAGTGTCTTTTCTCACAGCAGGTACAGCGATAACAAACTCCTTCAGTGGTTCAAACCAGATACCACTGCTTAAACTAAATGCTAGCACACATATCAAGCCATTGCAAGACAACAAGGTGAGCACAGGAGAAAGTCTCACAATTTTTACTCTATTCCATTTACCATCACCATTAAGAGTAAACACTAAATTACCTTCAACACCTCAAGGTTGGTTTTTTTTTCACATCGAGCACAAACACAAGTATTTTCTTTTCTTTATATTTTTTTTTCCAAACATATATCTGACATGGCAAAAAATGTGAACTTTCAGTTTATGCTAATTTTCTGTGTCTAGAGGGCTTGCGTGTAGGAGGCGGTATCCTGAAATTGGCTCGTCAAGCATGTTAGCTTATGTATGGTCTGAAAGCAACAGTGTAAAATGGACTATGAAAATATGTGGAGTGCTATCATATATAACTGAGTATTGTCTAAAAAAATACAGTAGCAAGCTTTTATCTTCGGTTCCTTAGATTGATTTAAACTTATTTAGGTTATATTAGTACAAATCATATTTAAAAAATATTTAAATATGTTAAGTGGGTGGGCTGTCCTTGAAAAAGCCTTTTCACTTTATCTGTGATTTTTTTTTTTTCCAGGACAACCCTTGTATGTGATTGTCTTCACCTTTTACCCGCACCAGTTAGTTGATAACTCTGAACGAACACAACCTAGAGAACAAGGAATATTTGGTCCAACTGTGGCCCACCTTGACTGACTTCACTGATTCAGGAATGACCCTGCCTGCCTCAAATCTACCTCAAGTTTACTTTATGTGATCCAGGGGTCGGGTTCGCCTTGACATTTGAGCACGATATTTACTATAACCCATACTAAGCCCGGCTCATGATTTGCGGGCCATATCTGTCCTACACAATACTTGGTAGAGCCTTAGGTGACAACAAGTCATCCAGATTAGGCCCAAATGCATCTGCTATCTGAGAATGGACCCATGAAGTAATGGACCTCAAACCAACCTCTGAACACGTTTTCATATAAAGATATGATTAATACAGCATATGGTAAAAGGATAATGTAAACTGTGAAAGCGTAGCAAGTTGCCAATCAAGTATTTTTTTATTTCCCTTCAGATAATTTGAATGTAATTGCTAGCATGAAAGCAAATGGACAAAAAAATCCAAGCAAAACTATGTCTTTGGCAACTACTGGTAGATGACAATGAAAATAACAGTAGCCTGAAGGGAAGGATAATGAGACATGGACAGTGAGCAGAAAGTAGGTACTGTTGGATCTCGAGCCCTTTGTTTTTCTTCTTAGCTAATGAGGATAACATTCTCTTCTAACAGTCCAAAATAGCCAGTCAAACTTCATAACAGCAAAGCAATTATGAAAAGTAATGAAGGATCCAGCTGAAAGACTGCCAGTTCACCTCTTCACATAACAACCCAGTCATTAACCGTCATTAAAGGGGTAGTCCATGTCATTACAGATTGATAATTAGTTTTACAAATTAATTGGCATTTCTTATATTTTTTTTTAGTCCACCAGTAAACACCTGATCACACATACATTATAGTATATGACTTTCAAAGAAGCAAGCATATGATTGACAGACAAACAGAATACAAACAAAAGAACCACGTTGCTATAAAAGGTCACTACCACTGTGGGAGATGTAAAAAAAAAAAAATAGAGAAAACATTTTGAGTGGCATATTCTGTACAGACAGTTGGCAAAACCCAAAATATTCAAAGGTGAGGAGGCAATAAAAAGCAATCAGGATGAGTGGGCACATGTGAAGGGTAAAGGATTGAGTGGTGGAAGAGAGTAGCTGGTGGCGAGGATGCTAACATCACGAGATAACTGGGGCCCTATAGCTTCAGTGGAGCAAGCAGCACACAATACACAGGGGATTGAGGGACACTTTCATATGGCAGGGGGAAGCCCACAAGTGTTTTAAGCCTATAGAGGAAACAGAAGCAAGGTGGGGATAGATGCACATCTGTTCAGCAGAGCTTTGTTTTTCACGAAGCATTTGTGGCACTATCATGTTGCCTCTCGCTGAGATAATAGTTACGTGGCATGTCACACAGATTGCTCCTTTGGGAAAGTGAATGGAGCTCGAGGGCCGTGGGTGGGGAAGCTCGTGTTGGAGTACATGGGCTCGTTGGAGGGGTGCTGAGTGTAAGGGTGCTGAGGCAGGAAAGTAACAGGGTAAGCAGGAGCAGGCTGAGACTCGGGGAATTGCTCCATGTTGCAGACACGTTGGTAGCTCATATATTCAGCTGGGTTCAAAGGCTCTTCTGGATGCCTCCCAGAGTCCTGTGTGGAGACGGAAAAAAGAAGAAAATACTGCAGGGTCACAAAGTTTTTGATGAGAGTTGACTGAGCGACTTCACAGTAATACAGTACAATACACAGCAGAGCAGCGTCTTTTGAAGTACTCAAGCATTTTATGTCTTTAAATGATTTGGGCATGTCACACTTCTGCCATGTCACATATGCATAACTCAACGTTTTGCACCGAGGGCCCTATATTCATGAATCACAAAGCTGCAGATCCTTTATTATAGAAAAATACAGAAAGAAAATATCTTTCAATTGCAAAATTGTAGGGTCACATACAGGAAAAGATAAGAGTTAAATTTTAAATTCAAAATTTTATTCATGTTTTTTTTCCCTCAACATTTTAACCTTTTTCTTGTAATTTCACCACCTTCACAAGATTTAATTATGCAGTGTCAAAATCTAAAAATAGTCTGTCTATAGTTTAAAAGCTCTCCATAACACGGTTCAAACCTCATTGACTCTAACTTACAAAATTATATTTATGTTAATAATCAGTGAGCCACTGATTTCACAGACCAAGACAAATAATTTATGCTGTTATTATCTTATAAAGTATTTCTTTATAAATAAATATTTACACAGAACAGCATGAAGTGTTTTGGTGTTGTAGTCTATCCTGTTTTTGTCAGTTTTTATGAAACAAAAGCAACCATTATTCTGATGTTACATGATGTTGTCAGAAGGGTCTGATTGTTCATCTGCTTTTTACAATGAAATGCTCTAAGTGCTACTTATAAAGCTTATAATGGCAGCAAGTCCGCCTTCTCAGCGTGTCAGTCACTTTGTTATGCTTGAACTGGGAATTTGGCTCCAACTTGGGAGTCGATGAGTTAGAATCAACAAATTCAGCTGGCAGAAAAGATGCAACTTTGGTCTTTATTTTGTATTAAATAATAATTTAATTAGCACTTTTTTTTTAGGTTCATCCTCATTATAAGCATCATTGATAGTGAATAAATATGTTGTGTATGTACTTCACACTTTAATATCTGCATAAATGCGATTTCCCGACAGAAAAGGCAATTATACACCTACTTGTGGGTGACATTGACAGGTTAGATTTACCTCACTGAATATTCTGCTTTACCATCAGCAATCCCTTTACTAAATTAAATTGTGTGCCAACATGTGATTTGGTAGGTGGGAAGTCGAGCTTCAAACATCATAATTGTTTTCCGCTGTTACATTTGTTGACACTCCCAGAATGCTCCCTGTCCAATTCAACAGATTAGTTTTTTTTTTAAATAGCACAAGCAGATGAACTCACCACAGTACACCACAGAAACAACATTACCTTAGTGGCAGTATAACATTACCAGTCATGAATATAGTGCCCTCAGCACTGAGCTGTTTTGGGGGACTTTTTAAAGAACGATAATTGAAGGTTCCCAAATTGAAATCACTGAAAACCTTAAGCAGCTCTAAATTAAATAGTGTTTTTAAAAGAATTACTTGGATGTGCCTTGAAATGAAGCGATTATAATAAAAATGAAATGAGGTGGTGAATAGAAGACATGCAAAAACAAAACAAAATGATAAGAATGATAGTGAAAATGCAACTTACGAATAATCGTCAAGCATCTCTACATCTACGAAAACGATGATCCCAACTCTGTAAATATTGTGGTGGAGCAACAAAACCAGAAACAGACTTAAACCTGCCTACAAATCATCGCATTCATCAAAACAAAGTATAAAATTGATAACTCCATTACATGAAAAGCTAGCCCAGCGGAACAAATAAATAAATAAAAATAATACAAAAATATAAATATAGTAAAATGGATAAAACATGAGGTACACATCAAGGAACTGTTAATAAGCAGGCAACCAGCACAACGACACAAAAAAAAGATTTTTCAAATAGCATAACGTAAACCTCTGTATTGCTACATGTATGCTATTTTGAGAGACAAAAGATGCCGTAATAGTAAAGCAAGGGGAAGCTGTTAATGGTGACAGTGTGAGAACTAAGCTTGTGTGAAGGTGAACTGGATTTTTCACAGCATAAGACGTGCAAGTAAACCCCTCTTGACACACATGCGGCAGACATTGGCAGAAGCGTCTGAAAAGCTTATTTGTTTCAGGTCAGTATCAAGGACCACGGAAGATGTTAAAACTTTCTACTTTGTCACGTTATTAATTTCTTTTGTGTGCATAAAAGACCTTGGCGATATCAAGCAAAATTAAAAGCAGCAGTCTGAGGAGCAGCTTTTCCATCTTAAAGGTTTGTCTCAAGACATTTGGGATTTAGATTTGAAACTTTAGCAGACTTCTGTAGAAAATGTCTGATTCAATGTTAGGTATTGTCCCTTTGAAGAAAAATACACCCTGCCTAATTCAAATACGCTCTTGCACGAGTAAAAACCCTGAATTCTCACATTCTAAGTTTGTAGGCTGAATAAATCAAAGATTATTTGATTTAAAAAAAATTCCCCTCTTGCCCCTGCGGGCAGTCTATCCTTCAAGCTCGTGTCCTCTACCAGAGGCCTGGGAGCTTGAGGGTCCTGCAGTATCTTAGCTGTTCCTGGGACTGCGCTCTTCTGGACAGAGATCTCCGATGTTGTTCCTGGGATCTGCTGGAGCCACTCGTCTAGCTTGGGAGTCACCGCACCTAGTGCTCCGATTACCACTGGGACCAGTGTTACCTTCACCTTCCACATCTTCTCAAGCTCTTCTCTGAGCCCTTGGTACTTCTTTAGCTTCACATGTTCCTTTTTACTGATGTTGTTGTCATTTGTGATCACTACAGCAACATCAGGAAGATGGAACACGAGAAGCTTGAGAAGTACTGGGGGGGCGGGGGGCTCAGAAAAGAGTTATATACCATCCAGTAATTTGACATTCTTTCTTACAAAGAATATTAAGTTAGCATGCAGATAACAACTGGAAACTACTAATCTGGTTATTCTGTACATTTAAACAATGACCAACAAAAAGATTAAGTAAATGAAACCAAAATGTAACAAATTAAAAAAATGGAAACATAAGTGGATGAGAATGGATGGAAGGATGGATGATGGGTGAAAAACATTGTGGTATGTATTTTATTATTGTATTAATTGTCTTAATTTAGCTATTTATTTATTTAAATATGTGTCAGTTAAAAATTATGTGTCACAGGAAACACCCTGTAAAATTGTTTTTGCACCTCCATATATTTAAAAAGAAGAAGAAGAAAAACTCCATGCAGGCAGTCTGGTTTCCCTGTTTTTGTTTGAGCTGCATTATCCATCCACAAATTCATGCTTCATGCTTGGTCTGCACCTGTCATAAGACGTATGCACTGCACAGGTCACCAGTCTATCTCAGGGCTAACACAAAGAGACAGCCATTCACTCTTACGTCCACACCTTAAGCCAATTTAGAATCATCATTAAACCTCTGCATGTCTTTGGAATCATAGAAAAGTACTCTTGCTACGATTAACCAGACTTTTTTTCTTTCTGCCCCAGACATTCTAGAATTGATTTTCAATTATAAAAAAAAGACCATTTAATTAGAATATTGGAAGAGCAAGGCTTTGATGCTTGTATTTAGAATTTTAAAATATCACTGCAATTTGTAGATTAAATGACTCAAATGCAGGATACCAGCAAAAAAAAATCGAACCTTTATTAAAGGCAGCAAAGAGAACATCAAATCCAACTGGACCGGACTTTTTATACGCATAAGGTAATCAGGGAAACTCAAAGCAAGACAAAAGAGAAAACTGACTATTAAAGTTAACATTAATGGACAAGAGGATTCAACTAAACACAGAGACATGAAAACACACTAAAACGATAGAAACACAAGGGAAGCTAGGATGAAGAACTTAAAGCACAAAACAAAACAATGAAAATCACACAACAGACCTAACCAAAGATTTCAAATATTACAAATGATCAGACTTATTGTGGAATACAAGGAAATCAAGACAGGAACACAAAACTGAACGTTAAACAGTGACTCAAGATTAAATCAAACTAGTGGCAACAAAAAAACAGACACACATAGACACACACTTTCATTTTGTTAAATTTATGCTATTTTTTTCACTTAATGGTGACTCTGAACAGAGGCCAGTTTGAAAGCATCTTTTTCTGTTGCTAACAAATTCCAGAGTTCCATTAAACTGCTGGGCAGTGAGCCCAGCAGTTTTCATGATTTAGGACAATTGCCTATCTGAAGCTGTGTAATGATTTTTGAAGGGAAATTAAATGCAAAGGTCATTTATGGAAAATACTTTTTTTGGAATTAAGATTTAAAGGAGTAAAAGACAAGACATTTTTATCAGCCTACTTATCAGCGTTATTTCCCCAATCAAAGTGTGTTTAAATAAGGAATGGCCATTACTCGAGGTATTTACTGCCCACAAGAAGTGAAAAAATCCTGTCTGAGTCCTGTCTGAAAAATGTGATCCTGAACATTACAATTAAACGTTTACTAACAAGATATTTAATAAGCTCACACTTAACATTAGCTTAGGTTATTCTTTATTTTTAATTGCTATACTTCTCGAGAGTTTCCATATCTCATAAACGAGCACAGAATTTCTTTAAACCACTCTAATAATTTGTGACTTTCAGTAATGGTTAAACAATTAATAATAAAATAACATTGGAGGAACTCAACATTTAAATAACGTCACTGGTTACAGTTTTTTTTAATATATCTTAAATACATTGACCAGAAACTTTTGAGTGTACAGCTCAAAATTTAGATGTACAGCTTATAGGTAATTGTTGTAAGTGTAACCTATATATCTCAGCATTAATATAGAACAAGTTAACACTGAGTTGAAACACAGTGTGTTTATTTCAATTCTATCTTTTTGGTAATTTAACTGTAGTGCATTTGTTGCTTAAGCCTAGTCCTGGTGCTATAGGTCAGAACGACAGTGTGACTTCTCTAGGCAAGTTCATTGTCCCATAACATTATCCAGACCGTGATTACATTTGTCTGTATATGTTATTAAGGCGGAGGATAAG